ACATCCGAATGCCAGAACGCTGTGTGAACGCAGGCAACTGTAACACAGATTACAGTCTGTGGCTCAATGGTTCTCACCCTCAGATAGAGGATGGAGAGGTGATCATGGAGGTCTGTGCTAGCACATTGTATGACTGCTGCTATTTCGAATCAATACCCATCAGAGTCAAAGCTTGCCCAGGCGATTACTATGTCTATGAACTTGTGAATCCACAGTATGGGTGTTCAGGATACTGCACAGGTACTGTTTTTCTAGCTTTTCAATATATATATTTTTTCTTTAATAAAAATTAGTTTTCAAATTTAATTAAAAGTGATTTTTTCTTTTTCTTTTTAGATATCAGCACAATATCCCTGACAACTTCCACTTCAGCTCCATCTACGTTTAGTGGATCCAGCCTTTCCATGTGTAGGTTGCTAATTAAATAATGAATCGCAGACATTGAAATTTGACTGGGTATTTTTTAAACTCTCATCATTTACTCACCCTCATATCATTCTTTATTCTGTGGAACACCAAATAAATTTTGTACATTTTACATTGTATGGACAAATACACTGAGGTGTATCTCAAAATATTTTTTATGTTCCACAGAATTAGAAACTTCAAGGTTGACTTTTTTTCATCTAAGAAAAAATTGTTCTAACTCTAACAGGTTAGAGGTTCAGACCACAACTATGGCAATAATGACAATGACGCAGAGGAATGATGCTGATTTCATAATGTAGATTTTTTTTCCCCACCCACCTGATGAACATTGGCAGCCCATCAAAATCCGTTTGAAGTTTGTGCTGCAGTTATGTTTACGGCTGTATTTTAGTTCATATTTATATAAAATGAGTAATTTTATAAAATTTTATACGAGTATATAAAAAAATGTAATTGTCCATTAAGTGTAGAATAGACACTAATACAGAAATCATTATAATGATAGTGCTTGGTGTGAACTGGCCTTTTTAGAGTCATGAGACTGTACCAAAAGTGTTCATCAAATGTTCATTTATACAGTTGAGGTCAAACGTTTACATCCCCCTTTCAGAATCTGC